TCGGGAATGCAAGGCATGTCATAAGTATCCAGGTTAGCGACTGAGGAGTAGCATTATAGTTAATGTGACTGAATTTATGGAATTTCATTACAATGCTGCTACAATAGAAGAGAAATATTGTCTTACGGTATTCAAAATAATGATGGATACAATTCAAGAAAAAGGAAGAATAAGAAAATATAAAAGAAGCAGAGAACATCTCAGTATTTGTATCACGTGGATGAAATTTTAATTTATTTTATAACATTACATTTTCTGACACACATAAGTTGGAAATTTTCCATTCAGTTTCAAACACATTTTTTAAGTGGAGCTCATTAAAGAAAAATACCAGGTAATTTGATATCAAGGGATGTGTTTGAAAAAATGTTTCAGCAGGTAATTTTTCCTTCAGATGGATTCATTTGTTTGTATAAATAAAATAAAGAGTCGCATTGTGATAAGCATGCATCCTCACCAACAACATCTTCAGATGGCACCTCAGCAGCATTGAGTGTCGATACAATCTTCTTTATCTCTTCTGAGGTTCCATTCTACAAAAACATTGCAATCTTTTACAAGACAATATACAAATAGTAGAAAGATAACACAACTGAAAGTTAACCAACGTGTCTACAAGCAAATCATACAGCAAAGAACAAACCTACCCTGATGGAAAAATGCAAACTTGAATGAGAACATAGGAGGTGTGGCATACAGTGTCATACAGGTTTGAGGCCTTTCAGTTATAGTTACAAACTGCACTTCGTATGATTTAAAAACATTAAGCCAAAATCAGAAGCCCACTACCAACTGATCCAGTTCTTCAATAGGGAAAAGTAGTGTGTTCATATCAACAGAAGCAAGGTAATAAAACGAAAATCTCCTTCAGATCTGACCATAAGAGTCGTTAAAATTCAGTTTAGGGGATCCAAAAACAGAAACCAATTACACATCTGAAACCCCTTCAAACGTACAATCACCACATGAAAAGATTAACCTTGAATCTAAAGCATTGTGATTTCAACAAAGAAAATAAGAAAGTTAAGACATTTACAGGATCCCAAAACTGACCCTTGATGTAATAACAGGTTAGATATAATCAATATCACATCAGACACCACTTCAAAAATAAAACCACCTCATAACTGAGAATCTAAAGCATTAGGATCTCAGTAAGGAACATGAGTAAATTAAGATAGTATATGGAGATTGGGATCGAGATCGCGATCGATTAAAGGAACTCAAATGACAATTCAACGAGGAGGATCGGAAACTCACGCATTTCCAGTTGCCGCCGACGAAGAATTTCCGGGCCATGGCTTCTGCTTCGGGTTGATGGCAATGAATTGCTCGACAAACTAAACAATTTTTATTCGGTGAAAAATGAAAAGAAGAAAAGAAGAAAATGTACCATTATGAAATTAGACAATCGCAACCACATTTCTTTTGGAGAAATCCTCATTTTACCTCAACTAGTTCCTGCACCCAACCAGAAAAAAAAAATTAAAAAAAAAAAATGGATAGAAACTGTAGCGAATGGTTAATTTGCCTGTAATATCGATCATTATATTGCAACAAGAAAGAACTGTCAAATAACTTACGAGCCACACTACGAGAAAAATAGGCTTAAAAGAGCAACTCATAGCACGAAATATTTACTATGTTTTCCCGTCTCAAACTTGTTTATCTGTCCTTCGAGAAGAAAGAATGCGTGTTTTCTTTATTTGTTTTATCGATTTCAAACACCCAAGAACAAACATTGGCAAATTTAATACAAAACACAAAAAAATTATCAGTTTTAAGCACTAATTCAGCTAGCACATGCTGAATTCAACTAAACTCTATGCAATCTGCAATCCTACTTGAACCTTAACTAAGCATCGTATCATCGAACAGTACAAAAGAGGCATAAAACAATCGATTTTTATCCAGTACACGTACTACTATTTCTTCTTCTTTTTTTTTTTCTTCAACCACAATTTGGCATACCTTTCTGTTCAAAATCAAACCCTGTACAGAAATTTTCACATCAATTGCACAACAAATAAAAATTCTCCCCAATCTTGAACTACAAGAACAACTAAGATTTTTTCTGATTTATTTATTTTTTCTTTTCTTAAACCCACAATTTGCCATCCCTTTCTGCATTAATTCAAACGCAGAACAAGAATAAAAATAGCATCAATTGCACAGACAACAAAACTATCCAATCAAGAACTATGAATAACTAAGAACAGAACAGTGCACCTTCTCCCAACCCTAAATCAGCTCGGGAAAAGGAAAAAACACCAATTGCGCATATGGGTTTCGATTGCATATGCACATTAATATGTGTCGTCTTCAGTACGAGGATCGGTAATCAGACAAATTTACCTTAAAGACGACGAAAAGCCTTGAAAGCTGCAGTCTTGCAGAAGGAGATTAGGGCGAGGCAGCTGAATAGTTTGTTTATAGAAAGCAACTAGGTTAAGGAAAATCTCCAATTGAGTATGAATAAAATCGATTTTGATTGGATTTAGTGATAGAGCTAGAACTCGATACAGGATATTTTACATAAGATAGTTGTTATTGAAAATTATACATAATTAAAAAAAAATATATAATAAATAAATTAAAGTGAAAATTACTTATAACGAGTAATCAAGCTCGTGCACTTATACAGATACAAATAAAATATTATATGACATAAAATATAATGAATAATGTACGTGCAATATTAAGCTCTTGTTTGTTTGGAAGGATGGGATTGGACTATTTTAGTGCAAATGTGAGGAATTACACTGTTTGGATAAATTTAGTGGGGTGTTTGTTATGTGTCATAAGGTGTGAGATAGTTTTTTAGATTTTCTTTAATAAAAAAAAAAAATCATTTTTTTTTTTGGTACAAAATAGGAGGCAAAAGCCTAGAACCTCAAGTAAGAACGTTCCGTGGGTAAGACACGCCAATAAGGTCGTGTTGGAGCCACGGTAGAACTACCGAGGGTGGATCAAATAAACGTTGGTAGCCGCCAGGACATGTGTGAGCAAGGGACGCCAAGCAGTCAGCTGCAAAGTTAGCCTCTCGATAGCAATGAACCACCTTCACCTCCCAATCTCGGCGAAGTAACTCGCGTATGGAACAGACTAAGCCGCCGTGCACTCCAAGCGCATCCGTTGGATCTCCTGTTGCCATGCCCACCACACTCAGGTTGTCCACTGCAACGGTAGCCTTACGACATCCCAATTCCCAAGCGCAAAAGCCCTTGGTAAAAAAAAAAAAATCATTTAATTCAACATAAATCAGCTTTTGCTGTAAAGTACTATTATACCCCTCAGCTTCAAGTGGATGTATTACCTCTATTTATTGTTCATACCAATGTAAGCATATACAGGTGAAGCAAAATCACAGGGACAAAATAACATATTTTCAAGCTCCCAACAACCACATATGATAAAAAAAAAAAATTCATTGACAATTTATAACCTAACACATTATATATGCCACAAAATTCAAACCTCAAAATCTTAATAACAAAAATATTTTAATCCCTAGAAACTGTGACTAATCCTTCAAAATATCAATCCTTTCCCAAAATTTGATAAACAGAAATTCTCCACAAACCCGTATTTCTAAGCATAAAACTGGAATTATCATCATTCACACCCCAGTAAATACTAGACGAGCGTCTCGAAAACACACGTTCATCCGTAGAGCTTAAAGAGTTGTAGTAAAGAGGTCATCACTTTTGAACTTGAAAACACAACAGAAAAATGGATGCACAAAATTACCGTTATCAGCGTCGGACCGGTGTGCCAATTCCTCAAACCGGAGAAGATGGCGCTTCTTCTTGGAGCAGCGTCGGGCCGACTTTCCTTGCCGAGTGTGAAGAGGCGAAGAACTGTGTTTTGGGGCTAGGGTTCTTGAATTCACGACTCTGGAATTTCATTCTGCGAGGGAGAGCTTTGCCGCCCTTGTGGTACTACCCGGCTCGATTCCGGATTAGTCGGTTCCCCTAAAAAAAAAAAATCAATAATTTATATTGGTAAGATCGTAACTACTGGATTTAAGAAGGACAAAAGAGTCCAACTAATTACTGGATTGTAATTCACTAATTCTGCCAAGATGGCGTTTGTTTTGAATGAATCCGGCAAACTTGGTGGGATGGAGTTATCAGTTATCCCAATTTAGTGGGATAAAATGCTTTTTCATCCCGACCACTTATACAGGCTTCAATCCCATAAAACAAACGTGGAATAGTGTAGGATTAGTCAGGATATCCTGGCCTATCCCCAAAACAAACACGAGGATTTAAACTAATTAGTTAGTTGAAAAATTATTATTATTATTATTATTATTATTATTATTATTATTATTATTATTGCTACTGAAATATTTATGCATTTTAAAGGGTGTTATTTTATTAGATCAATTAATTACTAAAAAATTGTTTAACGAGATAATAATAAAATGATGATATTAATTTAAAAAAAAATGAAGAAAAAATTTAGCAATAATTTTTTGTATAAGTTTATAATTTGCATAAATTTTTAGTTTGAATTTATAATTAGCTTATTTTAATAATAAATATTATGTGATAAATACTATAAGTTAAAAAATATTATTGCATGTACCAAAAAAAAATATTATTGCAATTAATTAATAAAAAAGTAACGGCTAATTTTCATAACTAAATGAAAAAGAATGGAAAAATGTCATTAATTTTTGTCCCGCTATATATATAAAATAAAATGAAGTGAAGAAAATTGGTGCCGAGGTAAGGGATCGCGCTTCATAAGGCCACATTGTGTTCGCCTTCTGCAAATTTTGCTCTTACATGAAGAGCATCACTGCATACCTCGCAGGAGCATATGCTTATAAGAGCAAACTCATTAAGTTTTCACAAAATGTAACTCATTATCCATTATTTCAACACGCACTATAGAACCAACTGTTGGTTTCATAACAAAACTGTTGAATCGTGTAACTACATTTTAACTTCAATTACAGTTCCAAAGTCGAAAGAATAATACATTGTCTATCAGAAAGCTGTTCGAAATACAATAACACCGAAAAGAACAGAAACAAAAGCCATAATAGCTCCATCTCTAGAAAGTCTAAACTCAGCCCACGTCAACGGCTTGCTGACCTGTACCAATAACTCTTCAAAACGTTCATTCAGACCTTCCAATGAACCCGAGTTATCGACCACAATATCAGCTTTGGACTTTTTCAGATCAAGAGGCATCTGAGCATTAATCCTACTCTGGGCCTCTTCAGCTGTGGACCCATCTCTCAACATAAGCCGCTCGAGTTGGGTCTTTGGGTTGGCCCATACTACGATAATGGGCTTAGTCCACCTGTCCATCTTGGCCTCGAACAACAGGGGCACGTCAAGAACAATTATTTTACAACCCTTGATCCATAGCTTGAGAACTTGAAGCAAAATCCCAAATGAGATGTAAGGAGCCAGTAACCTGATAGCATCATGGATAATTCTGAGAAATTTTGATACCGATTATAAATAAATCGGTTACGTATTGCTGTTCAGAAAAATCTGAGTGCTAATCTCAAATTTGTACGAAACAGTTAAATGACCCATGCAACCAGCCCTCAAGAAGAATAGAATCTATTTGTGAACAAAAAAAAAGGTTTTTCAATAGTGTTACTTATCAAGCATTCACTTGAATGAACAAAAACATCTTTTTTCGCAAACTTTGCTGGATATCACGGTCTACAATGGTAACGAAATCATTAATGTCTTGAATAGTAAACCAATGCAGCGATACTAACTAAAGCTCACCAAAAGTAATTGCTAAGGTAATTTCAGATCTCTTTGAAACTTAAAAACAGATCAACTAAAAACTTATGGAACCCCTTTCAAGGCAGTGTTCCAAGTAAAGATCAAATCTTTACATCCAATATTTTACCTATAATTATGTTAACAGCAAGTTATTGAGAGCATAACTGGAATCCAAGCTTTTCTTAACTCAAGCATGAAAAAAATATAAAAAAAAAAAAATAAAACGTAACAAAATTACCGATTAAGAAGCTGGCGCCTATCAGGATCATTAAACACGATCTGGCCCAGCTTCAGGCGATCAACTTCTCCTCCAGAGAGCAAAATTTCATCCCCAAATGCAGCTAACACTTTTCTCCATCCACCGGTACCTTTGTTCAGGACATTCTACAAAACCCCAACAAGCAACATAACTAAGTGCAACGGCAGAAGGAAATAATTTCAGAAAACAGACCCAACAATATACAAATTTTGAAAGAGATAGGGCATACGCGAGCGATGACATCAGCATCGACAACGGGGATACCGTTGGCTTTGAAGAGGTTGGATACTGTGCTTTTTCCGGAGCTTATGCCTCCGGTCAATCCAACTATTCTCATCTTGGCCGGGAAAATGAATTCCGGCTGACTTTACCTGCAAGAGTGAAAACGAGTGCAGAAAACAGACCCAACAATATACAAAGTGACTGTTGCTGGAAATGTCGAAGCCGAAACATTAACCAAGAAGCTCATAAAATCGGGCAAAAATGCTTTCCCCTGGTCAGAAAATCCCGAGCCTAAGGAAAAGCAGAAGAAGCAGAAGGACTCAGATGGGGATAAGAGTGCAACAGATATCGAGCAAGTTGATATTAATCAGACGAAAGAAACTAATGAAAATGGAAACGCAAACCAAAAGGGCGGCGATAAAAAGAAGAAAAAGAAAAAGGGGAATTTGTCAATTTGGGTTCAGCGAATACTGGTGGCGCTGGTGCACGTGCACCACCGGCAGCAGGAAGCGGGGGATCAAATCCACCATCGGGAATCTCGGGCCGACCAAATGAACCAGAACCCGCCACATCAGCAAAACCTTCCTTGTTGAACTTTTACTACACGGCCCCGGAATATGGAATGAGCTACAACAATGCTGCAAGTATGACTGCTTATACATACTCACGCCCGTATTATCTATGTTACATGGACTCCGGTATAGGTGTCGGATACGGGTACATATTTAATAATCCAGTGTTTATATTTCTAAAAGTTAAGATACGGGGACACGTACCCAAACTTGGACACGGGTACGGCAGTCAGTGTAGTAAAATTAAAGAAGTTAATTAATTTTACAATATTCATAGAAAAAAATATATAGATCATTGGAATTTAGATTCATATTAATTCAATACAAGTATATTACAAATAATAGTATAGTATTTTATCAAATTAGTAACGAAAATGCTTGTTTTTTTTTTCCTTGGCCAATTAAAGTAAATTTGGCATAAAACACGGCTAATAAGCTAAATAAGAAACAACTCAACTCTTTATTTACTAATAATATAAAGGATGTTGGCCCAAACGAATAGGCCACATACCAACATAGCCCACTAACCCCTTATCCATTCCTCATTTGTCAGAAAAAACCTAACCCCTCGTCTCCTCCGGCGATTCCTGATTCACAACTACCACCATGCCCCAGGCCCTCTTCCTCAGATCCGACCAACCAAACCGGTACTTCCTACCTTAACCATCTTTTTTCCCTTCTTTCCCACAACGCTCGCAATATCTTCTTCACCCGCCCCGACACCTGTTAATAGTCAACGTATCCGGCCTGTTTTGACCGGATCGGAGCCGAATTTCATACCAGTACCCGTGTCGTGTCGTGTCGACACGGGTACGCCGGCGGTAGGTGGCGAGTCCGGGTGACATAGCGTATTATTACTCGCCAACTTCACTTTCTGAACCGATCTTTGATCATAATCGTCCTGATGGTAGTTTTGCCGATGATGGAAACGGTCGCCCGATAGTGTGATGCAACTTTTACTAACTTTGGGTTTATTTCTTAATCTAGTGCTATATTACCCGGACTCGCCACCTACCGTCGGCGTACCCTTGTCGACACGACACGACAAGGGTACTGGTATGAAATTTAGCTCCGATCCGGTCAAAACAGGCCGGATACGTTGACTATTAACAGGTGTCAGGGCACGTGAAGAAGATGTTGCGAACCTTGTGGGAAAGAAGGGAAAAAAGATGGTTACGGGTGAGGAAGTACCGATTTGGCTAGTCGGATCTGAGGAAGAGGGCCTGGGGCATGGTGGTAGTTGTGAATCAGGAATCGTCGGAGGATACGAGGGGTTCGGGTTTTCTGACAAATGAGGAATGGATAAGGGGTTAGTGGACTATGTTGGTATGGGGCCTATTCGTTTGGGCCAACATCCTTTATATTATTTGTTCAAAGTTGAGTTGTTTCTTATTTAGCTTATTAGATATGTTTTATGTCAAATTTACTTTAATTGGCCAAGGAAAAAAAAAAGGCAAGCATTTTGATTACTAATTTAATAAATACAATACTATATTTGTAATATACTTGTATTGAATTATTAAGAATCTAATTTCATGTATTTTTTTCCTATGAATGTTGTAAAATTAATTAATTTCTTTCAATTTTACTACACTGACTGTCGTACCCACGTACCCGTGTCCAAGTTTAGGTACGTGTTCCCGTATCTTAACTTTTAGAAATATAAACACGGGATTCTTAAATATGTACCCGTATCCCACACCTATACCCCAGTCCATGTAACATAGATCTAGTGATCAAGGGTAGTTGGGTTTGAACTTTGGAAGGTATATAGTAATTTTAATAGATTCTCTGTGCATTGCTTTTCTTCTTCTTGCTTGTTATTAATTTAGTGAAAACTGAGAACTTCAGATTTGGCTTGGAATAATGGGAGCAGTGAATTATTAGTTTCATCTGGTTGCCTTATTGTCTCAGGTCAGGTTTAATCTAATGTGCCCACGAAATCAATTTTAAGCAGTAGCTCAGCTAGCACATGCTGAATTCAACTAAACTCTATGCAATCTGCAATCCTACCTTCACCTTAACTACACATCGTATCATATAACAGTACAAAAGAGGCATAAAACAATTGATTATGATCAACATCAAGTACACTTATTACTATGAGTTTTCTGTCCTATTTCTTTTTTTTTTTTTTNNNNTTTTGTTTTTTCTCAACCACAATTTGCCACACATTTCTGTTCAAAATAAAACCCAGAACAAAAACTTCCATATCAGTTGCACAGAAAATAAAATTATCCCCAATCTTGAACTATAAACAACTGAGATATTTTCTGCTTTTTTTATTTTTTCTATTCTTAACCCACAATTCGCCATCCCTTTCTGTTTTAATTCAAACCCAGAAGAAAAAATAAATAAATAAATAAATCGCATCAACTGCACATACCCGGCTCGATTCCAGATTAGTCGGTTCTCATGTGGATCCAGAAACCGGAAGTCCCTTTACCAAAAAAAAATAAATAAAATTATACAATCAAGAACTATGAATAAGTAAAGAATAAACAATTCACCTTCTCCCGACCCTAAATTAGCTTGGGGAAGAAAAAAAAAAAAAAAATCCCAATTGCGCAAATGAGTTTCGATTGCATACACATTAATATGTATTGTCGTCGGTAAGAAGATGGGTAATCGGACATAAGACGAAGAAAACCAATTCAATCAAATCCTAACTTCTAATTTCGCCGCGGCCTTCTCCTCGGCGGGGGCGCTCCGCGCTGCTGCGCCGCTACCCTGTTGGGTTGATGGTTCATGTAACTGTGAGTTGGAACTGGTCGATGAGTATATGGGTAAAAAAAATAAGGATTTTGCTACTTTGCCACCCTCCATTACAACATGGTTTACAACCATGTGTAATGGAGGCATTAAAAAATGCAATAATGCACATTTTTCAATGCATCCATTACACATGGTTGTAAACCATGTTGTAATGGAGGGTGGCTATGTAGCATCACCCAAAAAATAAGGGAAGTACTACCAATGATCGGTTAAAACTAGCATTTTTACCCCTGGATGAGATGACTTAGGTCTCTTCCAACTTAATTAGTGGGCTCGTGTTCGAGCCCTGTGAATGCAGCAGTGTTAAAAACTCTTGAGGGAGAGCTTTGCCGCCCTTGTGGTCCTATCCGACTCGATTTCGGATTAGTCGATTTCCCTGTGGATCCGGAAACCGGAAGGTCCCTGTACCAAAAAAAATTAGCATTCTTCAAATAAATAAATGTACGTAAAAGTAAAAGTATGTGAGTAAAATAATATTGCATTTTATGGAAAAATGTATAATAATTGATTTTTATTATTTAATTATATTGACAATAGTAAGGTAATAAAAAAAAAAAAAAAAAACTAAAAGCAGCTAAAAGATAATTTTATTTAAGAGAGACAATGTATCGAATCATAGATCAATCGAAAAACATTTACTCGAGAACAAAACTGAAACAAACTTATATCCAATATTGTCAGCGATCTATGATTAGATACAGCAATGTCCACCTACTCACGGTTTATGTGGCATGTACACATTGGTGATGTATTTTTTTGACGCAAAAATTCAATTTTGGTCCGCTAATTTGTCCATTATCCACTTTTGGTACACTAACTTATCCTTCATCAAAAAATGTTCTTTATGTTACACTTTTCATCAGTTTTAGTACGCTATTCCCGTGGCCCGGGATTACGAGATGCCAAATCAGTTATTTATCCTACCACGTCAACATTTTATCCCTCCACGTAGTTACAATCCCGGTCCACGTCATCTTGTAATCCCGCAAACTGGAGTAGTGTACTAAATCTGATGAAAAATGTAACATAATGGACTATTTCTGATGAGGGACAAGTTAGCGGACAAAAAATGGACAATGGACAAATTAGCGGACCAAAATTGAATTTTTGCCATTTTTTTGAACATATTAACATTACCAATGTTTGCATGTCACATAAGCGGTGGGCATATTAACATGTGTCCATCGTGGGTAGGAGAGCATTAACCTGATTAGATATAACAATATCACGTTAATTGGTTGATTGTTTGTTCTTTTCGTAATTGGATCACATAAAATAATAATAATAATCCGTGCGATTATTGTTATATATAACAACATTTGGTTTGATATAGTGCTGTTAAATTAGAAGAGTTTGGCTCGGCTAGCCTCGATCTCGGCTCGTTAAGGTCTCGAGCTCGATCTGCGAGCTCGGCTCGATAAGGCTCGAAATATAATTTTTTTATAATTTTTTATAATTCGGCTCGTTAAGTTTCGTTTACAACTCTAGTTTGAGATATGTATTGCACATATAAGTTTAATAAGAATAAATAAAAAAAATACATCATCACAAAATAAGTTAAATTTAGTTATCGACCCAAATTTAAATATACAAATGAAACTATAAATTATGACATAAAATAAAACAAAAATCTATAGTATTATATCATAAAATGTTCTTTTATATATTCTTTTGTAGATTTAGAAAAAAATGTATAATTATGTATTTTTAAAATCTATGTATAATTTAGTATTTTAAAATTTATTTTTAAAATTTATGTTTTTAAAAA